ATGGTAGTTAGAAATAGGGGAAGACCAGAAATTCCTTTATAACTGCATTTATGATTTCTTCTATGCGGACTGACTTGGGTTTTACACTTTCTCTTGCAGTTAAGTTCAAGCAAGGTTCGCGTCCCATACTTTTTCCCAAAACTTAGTCGCCTTCTATAACAATCAGATTGCCTAGGACTCCTTCACTTGTGAAAGAATCAGGAGATCGGGAAAATGAATCCGCTCGAGGATAGACCTAGTTGTTGCATCACCTCTTCCCCACCCTCTCCTACCGCAAGCAGACATGTTTCCACCATATTCACTGAGCTCGATAGCCCAATTAGCCTGATTGATTGGGACTGTGCATGATCGTACGAAGTGGTTGAGTGGTTAAAACAACAACCATATGATACTTGAAAAATGGCCTTAATTTTGCTCCATCATAGGGTATTTCGACTCAGCTCAAGTGAATGATTTACTTATGTAAAAGATTGGTCTCTCTTCGCTACGAACGAGTACTCCACTTAATACGCTATCCAAAACCAAAATATAGAAGAAAAGCTACTATGTGAACTCCCGTTTGGCTAAAATTGGACGTTTCGATAAAAAAAGTTTTGAATTCCTTGAAAGAATCCTCACACTGTTCATCCCAGGTGAAACCCTTGTTTCCCTTCTGAAGCAAGTTATAAAATTGAAGGCATTTATCGTTTGACCTGAAAATGAATCTGTTTAAGGCCGCAATCCGCCCAGTGAAACGATGAATCTTACAGATGTTGCTTAGAGAAGTTTAGTAAGAGACGCGTTGAGTTGGTTTGAATTTGCTTTGATTCCGCGCTCTGTGACTATATATCCCAAGAACTCTTTCGAAGGTACAACAAATGTGCATTTATACGGATTCAACTTCATTATGAATTGATTCAAAATGGCAAAACATTCTTTTAATGCCCCATGTGCAAAGTCAAAACCAAAGACTTCCATAATTTTTCCGAGGAGATCCTGAAACATTCGGTTTACTAGACGTTGGTACGTAGCTTCAGCGTTTTTCAAGCCAAAAGGCATGACCTTATCTCAATAGGTCTCGCGAACCGTAATGAAAGATGTTTTTTCTTGATCCTTCGGATTCATCAAAATCTGATTATAACCTGAAAAAGCATCTATGAAAGATAGCATCTCGTGACCAGTTGTGGATTCTACAAGGCGGTCGATGTGAGGAAATGGAAAGTTGTCCTTGGGGCAAGCTTTGTTTTGATCAATAAAATCTACACAGACTCGCCACTTCTCGTTTTTCTTTTTAACCACTACAGGATTTGCGAGCCAGTCAGGATATTGAACTTTGCAAATTAGACCGGCGTCGAGTAATTTGACTACTTCGCTTCTGTTTTACGGGTTTGAAAGTAGGATCAACATTGCGCTTGTGCGAGATCTCATTGATTACCCAGAATTTGCACCACCCTAGTTTTCGTAGAAAACTTCACGCATTGATAATATGTTGAAGGTACTACTTTAATTTCGAATAATCATGGGGTTCCCAGAAGGATATTGTTAGCCGTTGGTCGGTCAAAAACTGTGAACTCGACCATTTCACAACTCCTCAAGCTGATACATGTAGTATAATTCTTCCCAATGACATTAAAGTTTCACTAGTGAAGGAGAGTAGAGGACTTGGGGGTCTCTTGATATTGGCTTCGAAACACCCATTCTACTTAAAGTATCCACGAAAAAATCATATCAACCGAACACCCAATATCCACCAAAATCTGTGATACCTCTTAATGCCCTATGTCGAGCATTATAACCAATGCGTGGTCATGAGGCTTGTCCAAACCATCCATTTCACTTTCTCTAAACGTTATCTAGGGTAACTCTTATTTAGTTAGCTTGGCTCGTGTAACCAATGGAGAGGTCGCTTTACGCTAATGATGTTTGATAGCGATGATCAAATCACGGAACAGTTTTGATCCACCCATAATCATTTGGATTGTTCAGACTTTGAGCAGTCTTAGCTTTCTTACTGGGAGGGGAAGGTTCTTCAATTACTACAACTTGGTTATGGGCTTGCATTTACTTGAGCTCCGAGACATCGACCTCAGTGATCTTGCCAGCCGCAAATTTAGATGCCAGGAGCCGCCCCAACCTGTTGCAATCTTTAGTAGCGTGCTTATTCATCTTGAGAAATTAGTAATAAGCAATTGGAGCAATAAGCAATCGGATCTCGGACCCATTTGTCACATGGGAAAGCGCCATTTTTGTTTTTCAAAGATAACGTGACTTCAGAGCTGTTTTGAATTTCTTAGTTAGCCAGGGCAACTCGCTCTTCCTCGGCATTGTTCCAATTCGTTGCACGGTGAAGCTGATAAAGATGCTGAATCTTATAATCTAGGAATCTGAACCATGATTTCGTTGAATGTCGAAATGTAGACGCGAGGTAGCTCAGTTACCGCTTGGGAAAGGTTCCAAAGTTGAGCATTAGTGACTGCATGCTTGATGAAGTAACCATACTGCTTAACGAAAGCATGTCACAGCTGATTGAAGTTATAGTTGAGCATTAGTGACTGCATGCTTGATGAAGTAACTCATACTGCTTAATGAAAGCATGTCACAGC